ATTCTAATGTTTAAAGTACTGAAACCCACATCTCTTCCAAGTCACACATTTAGCACTTTGATTTGATGGATGTGTTCAATTAGTACTTTTTCTGGGTTTTGCTGATTTGTCTCATTTCTTTAGGAGAATGAGCAGTATTTAGTAACAGTAATGGACACAAAGTATAGCTGACACACTTCCACATTGGATTAAAAGCTATTTTCATCTTAAATTTGCAAACATGTTTAAATTGCACACATTTTAGTGAGCTTGAGAATTGCATACTGGTTTAAAATAATATGAATACTGACATATTTTTCAAAGCTGTTACTAGAAATTTTGATTTAAAATAATATGTTTCAGCCACAAGGAATTGTATTTCAAGTGATCAGCTTTAAAATCATTTGCTCATGCAAATAATTTCCAAAACAGCTTGCTTTATTCTCATACTGCTACTTTCTGCAGACATATCCTAAAGCAACATGCAGTTGTTACTGGAGATTTCTTACTTACACGGCACAGTGCAGTGGAGAGAAGCTATTACCATAGAACTTGTGGAAAAGTTTTTGTTCCAAGAGTACCTCTATGCAGTTTTCATGCCCTGTGAGAAAGCAGATATTTCACAGTGTTGCACAAAGCAGATAGCTGACTTAATTCATATTAGCCTTACACAGGTTGGAATTTCACACTTTTAAGTTCAAAGTTGAACATGATGTGTATATGAGCTCTTATATGATAAATCAGAGAATTTTTAAATTTTATGGCAGCAGTAAGAGATATATGGGCTGATTTTAGCATTTATTGAGAAAAAAGGAAAGAATAAAAGCTCTTTTTAATGTGATGTCACGTATGTTGCACTACATCCAAAGCTTAAATGTCAATTCTGAGAAGCTTTATCCTTATATTAAGCAACGAGTTCAGATTATCCCGTTTAGAATAATCAGTTCAGAACATCCATCTATTCACACGTTCTCTTGCACCAAGAGCTCAAAGGAGCGTTCCTGGTCTCACAGAAATCAATTTCAGCATGGACATGAATAAAACCAGAATGTCATCCTGGCTTCTTGTGATTTGGAGCCGCAGAGTCCCTGGGAGGTAGCGCTGGAATTTCCCTGGCCTCTGAACTGAAGGGTGCACATAGCAAATGCTAACTGCAGACAGCAAACAGGGATAATTTGCCTCTTCATTTCCAGCTCCCCCACCACATTTCCCCACTGCTGAGGCCACCCTTCACCCAGGCAGTAGCTCCAGGAGAGCCTTACCATTGTAACAAGCCCAGTGCAGGGGTGTGTAGCCCTGGTTGTCTTTCAGGCTGCAGTCCTCCTCAGAAAGTGCCACCTGCAGTAACTCGCTCAGCCACGTGGCGTGACCCCGGGCTGCTGCAAAGTGCAGAGGTGTCCTGCCTCTGGCATCTTTACACAAAATAGAGACTTCTTTCTCTAACAGCATCTGAACACATTCTTCATGCCCTGTCATGATCTGGTAACAAAGAAATGAGTAAAGAGATTGACAAAACACAGATTCTTGCCCCGGAAATACGGAATGTGATTGATGCCTGTGAATGTGAAATGGTGTGGATGGGATTCAGCAAGCAGAGATGAGAGCCCCTTTGCTCACCTGCTGAACTGCTCACTGCAGTTATCATAGAGTTGTGTATAAATATCATCCCTTGCATCAGTTCCACATTGGGTAAGAAGCTAGACTTAGCTAGGAAAGTCTAGCTTAGTCAAGCTGGACTAGAAAAGATTAGATCTGCCTCAAGTTTCACCACCTCTAGAAAAAACTTAAAGGACTTACTACTTACTTAGCATTCCAAGAAAAATGAATGTAACTACTGGCCAGTTCTTTCAAAGAAATTATTTTCAAAATTCTTAAGTTGCTCAGTTACAAGAATAATGATTGCTATTATAAAGTGTCTAGAGATAAAACCAACCAAACAAAAAAGTGGTCTAATCATTATTTTGGCTAATTAATTAATGCAAATTAATGCAAATGTGAAATAAAAGCAAAGCATCACTAAGAGCAGATCTGTCTTTCTTTGTGTCTCACTGATTATGCTTGGTCATGTTTCCAATCATTTACAGTGTTCTCTAGATTTAAATATCCCTGTGCTTATAAGTGAATTGTAGTCACAGCAAAACAAATAATAAAGGATTATAAAAATTAAGTCACCCCTCGATGTAAAGCTGTGCATCCCAGGAGATCAGCTGCATCTACAGATGCTTCTTTTTCAAGTAATAAAGAAACAGCATCAATGTGCCCATATGCCACTGCAAGCATTAGTGGAGTTCTAGGAA